GTGCGGCTCTCTCCACAATGGGCACGGTCATCAGCAAGAGACTTGGGGATATGAGGTACAGTATTGACCCAAAAGTGCCAAAGTGGCTGACATCCTGGATACAAGAACAAATGGGCAGTGTGGACAGAAACAGAAAGATCTCAAACTGGAATATCCAACAGATCCATATTTATTCTGAGACCACATGATGAAGCAGATGGGTATAACTTACTGACAACTTCAGTGTTAAGTCTCTTGCCAGGGCTTAAAATAATGCAGTAAAAATGGGGCAACCATAAATTACGGTCCTACAGTGAACAATTAACAAAATCTGGTAATGTATCAAACACCTGTTTGTGTTTGCACTTGTCAACATCATGCTCTCATTCAGAACCCTGAACATGCTAACTGAGGGGTACATCCTCATTTTCTCCTTTGATCAATCCTTGCTCGACTCAGAAGTTGAAGGATGGCCCAAAGATTTTATTCCTGCTCTGTGGAGTGAGGACGCTGCCATGAGCGAGAGTACTTGCCATCATTTGCTGAATTTATTTATGGTCCGGCACACTCCTTTAAGTTAATACCTTGCCTCTGCCATGTGCACGGATGCATTCTTAACTAGAAATCAGTGAAACCTAAAATGTGGTGATGTAACAAAGACGAGACAAACGGTGACACTGGTAAGACGGGGGATCTGTTTTTTGCATGCCACTCTTTCATTACAGGTGAAAAAGAAAAGAGTGCAGTCAGTACAGCTGTAGCCGGGCATGTTCAGCTTTTGAGCCAATTCAGTCATGTGAAAATGATAGTAGCTGGGTGTGGTGAGACGAGGACAGAAACCTGGCCTAATGTCAGAATGTTGTTTACAGTGGGCTTGGCAACCTGGTGATTTTGTCTTCTACATAAACATCCTGAAGTGTCACAAACTCCTGCCCATAACCAGGATGCACACGAGCATGGAAATGTAGTCCTTATCTGTTTGAAGCCAGCTGAATTTGTACTTATCTGACACTGTCCACTGCTCATTTTTTCTTGTAGCAGGGCTAATACACGCCCTAAATACACATTAGGCGTGTATTAGCACTGAATCTCATCTTCATCTTCCAGTGATCAGCTTGTTGCACTGTCCTCTCTTCTAACCTCATAGTTACCTGTAGATAACTTGATTAAAGTGATTGGATAGTTGTGGCTGAGCCTGAAAGGTCAGTTCAGCTAACTTAAGGGATGGTTCAGCATGATTTGGTTTTAAAGTGTACAAGTAAAGATGTGAATTGTTTTTCCTAACAGTCATAAGATCTTGTGTCGAAATGCTCAGTAGAATTGTTCTAAAATCAAATTAAATTGTTTTTTAAATAGTTGAACCATCCCTGTAATGTAGACTAGAGAACTTCATGGGTTCATATTTGAACTTGAATCCAAACAGATCAATGGAAAACCAATCTAAACCAGATGAGCATGTGAATTTTCACAAGAGACCAAATCCCAAAGGAAACAAAGAATATTCTGACCATTTCCTAAAGATCCAGTCAGGTATTTTACATACAGACCCACGCAAGACGCAGAGCAATAGAGTGGGACCCTAAAGAGCCACATTAGGGCGTGTATAATTTGCTCCTGGGACAACTGGGATATTAGAAACCAACTGGACCCATGTAAATCTCTTAGACTATTTCTTACCATAAAATCACCTTTAATTTGTAATATGTTTATGTTACTTTACAGAAAAGATTAGTAACAAAAGGTAGTTTCTAATGATCATTTTTGAAATAATTGACAAAGCAGCAGTTCAAGTGTAACTGTGTTGAGAGAGCATAGATTTAGAGTAACAACTCTGCTCAGTGAAGATGCCATAACCACGTAGTCCTTCACATCTAACCTCTTATCTCTGGTTGTGCCCTGTTGACTTACACAACTGTCTAACTATGTTAGGCTCCCACAGTATTTGCTTGTCACCACTCTTGCATGATGTGTGTGTGTGTGTGTTTGTGTGTGTGTGTGTGTGTGCGTGTGCGCGCGCGCGTGCGCACAAAAGGAAATGTCTGGAAAGGAAATTTCTGCTGAAATGTGTGTTTGGCTGTTGTGCATTGGCTTCACATACAGTATACCCCACTAGTTGTATTTCCGCAGTTTAAACCTGGCTGGCTCTTCATCTTGTGCCATCTCTGCCCCTGCATGTTGCATGTTTTCCTTTTGATATTTCCTACTGAAATCATTCAGTATTGGTTTTATTTAGTTTTAGTGTTAGTTGTGATGCTACAACCTGTGCACTCTGGCTCATTTATCAGAAGAAAAGGCCACTTGGTAGTCATAATTATTGGAGTGGTTTGTAGACTTTGTCCTTGTCATGTAAGTGCAATATGCTAAGTGTTTTTTTTTTGTTTGTTTGTTGTTTTTACTCAGGCAGCAGTCACCTAACTTTTCATCAGCTGTAGTGGTGATTTTGGTTGCACAAATAGCTGTTTTTGTCCCATGCCTTCTGATTTCCCTACTGATAAGATCACTGTTAGCTATGTGTTGTTGTTCTTGAGTGCTGTGGTTTGGTTTTGTCTCGATGTTGCTGCTTTTGCCTTATGCTCTCTCTCCTCTTTGGTTTTAATCGCTGCCTTGGTTTGTTCTGCAGAGCTCTACCTTTCTCTAATTCCTTTAGGTAAGACTAACGTGTCCTTTTGCAGCATTCCAAGAGTTTAATCACACAGATACAGTAGTAATGTGATTTGAAAGTTGTTATACAGATAACGTCATTCATCATAGTGATTAAGCTCTGCAATTTTTGCTGTAGAAAATGTGACTTTTTTTTTTTTTTTTTGATGAAAATCCTGGCAGATTGCCATAATGTATTTTCCCCCAGCACATACGTACATGGATGTTAAGCATGCTGTTATTTTAATATAGAATTTCTTTAAAGGCATTGCTTGTTTCCTGTCCTGTTGTGGTAGCATTTATAAGCAGGTGTTGATTTCTGCAGGGATTTTCTTGAGAGAATTTAAATCTAAGCAAATAGCTTAGGTCTATTAATGTGTATTATTGGAAGCTGTTGTTTAAGTTGAGTTGTATTTTAGCATTATGCTGTAAACAGATTTAATATTTTGCACGGTGAGCTGACCTGCTGTGAACAGACTAAAATGCTCTTGAGGTGTGCCAGCTGGGCACAGCTTCTGTTTTCAGTACCAAATTAGTAGTTTTATCCTAGATGTCTAATAGGACCAGTAAAATAAAGTGTTTCCCTTTTGAAACTGACTGTTGGGGGAGAAAAGTGAGGAAAATTCAAGTTGAATATAAATTGGCACCTTCTAGCTACCCATCATGTGGACTACACTCTTAAGTATTCATTCCCCCACTCGATAAGTATGCCCGCCATGAGGTAAAGTATCACACACACCTGTTCACTGCTGCTCAGCTTAATGCACACTGTACAACTGTGCTCCTGCTTTTTATTTGCACACACACCTGTTCACTGCTGCTCAGCCTAATGCACTATTTGTTGTTTATCTGCACGTCTGTACTTGTTATGATGCAGGTTTCTTCACTATGGAATCTTTTACACTGAGTAAAGATGAAATAAAATACTGACTGGGCAAAATATAAAGTCCACCATCCTCACATTTTCTAAACAAAACCAGTTTCATGGCTGAAGCTGATTTTGAAATGAGTCAGTTTTTAATCAGTGGCAAGTGAAGCTAATTGATCAAGTTCTGAGTTTATTATTTACATGCAGCTACAGCAGTCAACTTCCCAGATTTGTAAAATATTTACCGATATGTGACAGCATGAAAACAAATACATTTTATTCATTATTTGCTTGTCATGCACAGAATGTGTTGAGCTGTAGTGCTGATGTGAAATACTAGATTAATATTTCATATTGAACAGGGGCCATGGTTTTTTTTTTTTTTTGGTATTTTATATTTCAGTTTTAATAATGCACCAACATCATATTCTACACTGTAAAGATGGTGTTTTGTATATTATGTGCAGGTTTTTGTGTGACTATAACTGTCTGTGTTCTGCAGGAATTCTGCAACCTTCAAGTCATTTGAGGATAAAATGGGGAGCCTGAAGGTGAGCAGATGGTTATGTTTAACCGACCAGCTATGATGTGACCGATCCAGGGCTGGACCTGAATATCTGAGTACTCGAATATTTGTTCAATGTTTAGGTAATCGGTTTCAATTTAGTATTCAAATATCCGCGTGCTGCAGCAGTGCTGCCAGTGACATCTACACTCGTGTTGGCAAAGCTCCCTGTGGCGGCAGTTCAGGTAGCAGCTTCTGCTGATCATCGCTGTTTCTGGTTAAAATGAGGGGTCAGACCAGCTGTCATTAACTATGCATAATTCCGTGACTTAAATTAATGACGGGACAAAATGAAAGCGGCTGTTGTCGGGTTTGTGACCTCGCTGCAGCCAGTGGACAAACGGACAACATGCTGTCTATCGTTAGCCGAAGATCTTTTGAGGTAAAGAGGCTTCACTCTGTAACACCGTTGAATATTTAGAGTGAACCGGGTGTTTCTCTGTAGTTCCAACAACTCCAACAGAGTGGGACGTCTTCACTGGTAAAATGTTCATTTGATCTCGCATCAATGATTGAAATAGAACAAAATAACAGGACAATCAAATGTGGACTATTAAATATCAGAACTCTCTCATCTAAATCTCTGTTAGTGAATGATTTGATAAGTGAACATCACATTGATTTATTGTGTCATACTGAAACTTGGTTACAGCAGGAAGAACATGTCAGTCTAAATGAATCCACTCCACCTGGTCATATCCCTGGAAGCACAGGCTGATGTGGAGGTGTGGCAGCGATTTTCAACTCCAGCCTATTAATCAACCCTAGACCTAAACATAGTTATAACTCATTTGAAAGCCTCACTCTGAGTCTCTCACACCCAAACTGGAAAACTCAAAAGCCAGTTCTATTTGTTATTGTTTACCGTCCACCTGCTCCTTATTCAGAGTTTTTAACTGAATAGTCAGACTTTGTCTGATTTAGTGTTTAGTAGAGATAAAATAATCACAGTGGGCGACTTTAATATTCACGTAGATGCCGACAATGACAGTCTCAACAGTGCATTCAGTTCATTGTTAGACTAACTGGCTTTTCTCAAATTGTAAATAAACCCACTCACTGTTTTAATCACACCTTTGATCTTGTTCTGACATATGGCATCGAAACTGAACAATTAATAGTTTTTCCCCATAACCCTCTTCTGTCTGACCATTTTCTAATAACTTTTGAATTTACATTAATGGATTATACTCTGTGGGAGAATATTCCTCTATAGCAAATATCTGACAATGCTGTTATCAAATTTAATCATTGCTGCAGCATTCTTACAACCCCCTGCCAGCTGTTGTGCTTATACATCAGTGACACTGGCCTCTTTTCCTCTCTCCTTCTCTCTCCTCAGTATAAGGTTGTTGGCCCCAAAGAGAATGAAGATGCAGTCAGCTCCCCTACCAACACCACCCCCACTCAGGAGAACCCACCTTTCTGAATGTATCCCTCCTCCTCCTCCTTGCTGCCACCTCCCTCACGACCTGAGACTGTACTGTTCTCACCTCACATTGCAGAGTCAGCCCTGACATTTGACCCTCCGCCTCACTGACTTGCCACTGCTCATTTTCCTCGAGTTCTGTTCATGATGCCAGAGGTGAAGGACTCCTGGGTTTGAGATGGGACAAGCGTACCCTGCCGGTCCCACTGCTTGCACCACAGCTTCCATTCTTCTGCCACCCTGTTGAGGAAAATTTTTGTTGTCTAAACCTGAATATCTTAAAAGGCCTTTCGTTAGTATATCACCTCTGCCTATTTTCACTCCCTCCCCACTGTGATCCTCACCTGTTTTAGTTCAAAATAAATCAACACTCAGCTGCTGCACTCTTCAGATGCCTTTATGAACAGGTTTGCTTTGATCAGAAAGTCACTTAAAGGCTACAAAGGCATTATACCCTGTACTAAACTAAATGATAAAGTTTGTCTTTCATTCTGGGATAGAGATTTCCCAAAGGTGCTGCTGAAATTGTACATGAAAAATTAACCTTGCAGTGTATTTGGGCCCCAAAGCTTAGAAACTAGGCTATCTGCAGAGTGAGTGTGGAGGGGGATTTTAGGGCCATAAGCAAGATGGTTTACATGCTAAATCTGCTAGTTCTCTTCTTGCTTCTTATGTCTTCTACTTAAATGTGTTGCTACAATTTCTCCACCTTCTTCTCAAATATATACCTTTTGGTTCACAACTCTGCGGTTGCCCATGGCGGCAGGATCCAGACCTACTACTGCTGCATGCATGTGCATATCTCATCTCAGTTGTACCATACCAAGCGTGCAAAAACAACTGAGGTCTCTAGTGACACCCTAAAACCACCCCAGGATGTAAAAACAAATCATTTGTATTATAAACTATTTTACACTGCTTTGCATAATGTTTTTACATAACTTTTATCAACATGTATAAATATATATGAATAACTATATTGTCACTAGTGCTGCCGAAAGATAGTTATCAGGTTGGGAGGTTTGAAAATAGCAGGGGGAGGCTGAACAAACTTTCAAAATATGGAAAATGAAGACATTAGTCAGTTTCACAGATATGAGTTATTATCTGCCGTTTTTGTTACAAGTACATCTGTGGTCTAAGAATGTTTCCACATCTGTGAAACTGACTCATTAATGAGCTGCAGTACTTTGTACCTGGCTGAGCACAAGACAAATTAGGCCAAGACAGGAAAGAACGCAATCAAACTGGTTTCACTGGACAGACTGGGGCAGTGCTTGATTTCACATGTGCTGCTGCAGCATGTTCACATCACCATTTGCAAGTCAAAATCAAACCAAGCACTTCTCAAGGGTTGAAAGTGGTTTGTTCCCTTCCTTTTGTTGAAACGCGCATCTCAATGTGAGACGCTGCTTTGGTGTGTACACTACCTGAGGAATGTCAGTGCTTCTCTATTGGCCTTACTCACTTTAAATGGTTCACCCATTACAATTTAGCAGATAGAAAATATTTTTTGTTCTCCCTTTTAAAGTTCTTTTGAAGAAAAGGGGGGTTGGCATTAACTTATTTTGAGTTTGACAGAATGTATTATATAAAACCAGCTGGCTGCCATAGCAGAAGCCCTGCCAACAACACCTTAATGTACACGAACGCACTCCTGTTAACGTACACTAAATGTCCTCACAGACACATGTTGCATGAGGCCAAACTAACAAAAAATCAGTTTCTCTTATTGCCTATACCGCCTGTACTGTCTCAGCACATGCAGAGCAATTAAACAGAATCTCTTAAAGCCTACATGGCCTCAGAAATGACAGTGAAGTTGAGAGAACAGATTTGGTGGCACTGTCACTTTTCTCTTGAAAGTAGATTAAAAAAAAATGAAAGTTGTACTGTAGATATTTTTTTTCCTGCCGTTACAAGGACAACATTGCCACTAGTTGTTATAAAATTTTACTTTGTTGGCTAAATTTCACACCAAAAAGTGTACTGCTACCAAATGCTTTCTGCAACTTGTGAAAAAAAACTGTCCACTTTGACTTTTTGGTAACGCCAAAAACCTGCCACTGAAGCTGACTTCAGTGCATTGTCTAAAAATGTCACACAAATAGAAATATAAAATGTCCCATCAAACTGCTTCAAAAACCTTTGCCAGTGTGTTACATCTTAAGTGTCATTTACTGTTTTGCTTGTTTTGATCACTTTGGTAGTTAATATATGCCTGTTAGGTGAACTGTTGTTTCTTTTGGCTTTCCTTCTGTTGGGAGGGGTGGACTCGTACAAATAACATATCTTTTGTAAATTTGCCATCAGTTTAAAAACAAGTTGCCACTATTTATAAATCTTACAGAATCTCTTCCTCTGAATCTCATGGAATCTGACTTTGTTTTGCCAAGATGGAAACATAAGAAATATTAACCTGTCAGTCTTTTACTTCAGAATTGACTCCTATTTTTGTTACACCAAGTGAAGAAACTTGGTAGGGAACGGATCTCACTCTGTACAATGAAAATCTGATTGTAAGACTGAATTAAATGATTTTTTCTCTTTGCAGTGTAGCTGTTACGTGTTTAAAACTGTAATCCATTTTGGTGACGCTTATGGATAGAAAGGGATGATGTACTTAGTTTTGGGTGCCAGTGGGAAGTGCAGCACATGAAGAGCCTGTTCAGAGGCTGGAGGACAGTAGAGTACTTATAGCTTTATTTAGATTATTAAAAGGGATCCGATTTGGAATGTTATGGTGAATTAATTCAAACATGTTTTAGTTTTGTTTATGTTTGGATATCAATAAAGCATTCCTTTAAAATGAAGAAGAGGCATTGGTCAGTGCTCAATATCTGTGCTGCTTGAAATCAAAAATTTGAAATGAGATTTTCTTAAATTTAATTTTATGGGTGTTTTTTGCCTTCATTTAGGTGTTAAAATGAGTTGCTGAAGGGGAGACACGAGCAGACCTGTGACAAAGGTCAGCAGTCAGACTCAAACTGTTGACATCACACATACATGCTTGGTATATGGTGCACCACACCGTAACCATTCCACTGGAACCTTTATCAGGGTGCCCAAGCAGCTTTGATTTAAGTTTATAAAACACAGCTCCAACAGTGGTGAATAAAGTATTTATTTGCTGCATAGATTCTGTAAAATTGTTTCTTGGTAATAGTCCACTCACAGGTTTCAAATGTACAGTTTCAAGAGAGACTACCTGGAAACACCTTTCCTTACAAAATGATTGATGATGTACTTATTTAATCATTTGGGAATTATTTAAAAATGTGGGTGGCTAAAATGATATCAATGATGAGCATCACAGCTGCTCTGGCAAGCTGCATTACTATTAATGACTATGATGTCAATCAAGGTCAGGTATCTCATTGCCTTTAATCACCTGTCATAATCATTCAGAATCGGCAAAATAATGTCTGTCTTTATGATGGAGATGCATTTCATCATAGGTGACAAATCTTCATGTATAATGGGTTGTAAATGTGTACTACTTTAGTTTGTAAGCTATGCTCAAACTAGAATGAAATTGTGCAAAATCAAGAAAGTTTTGAAACAATGTCAGATGTAAAACTTCAATTCTTTGAAAACAGCTCTTTGAAAAACCCCAGACACTGCTGCAGGGCCATATAGGTGGCTCTCTGGACCATTTATTCTAGTCCATATTAAGGAAATGTTGAGAGTTGTAGCATTCCAGAGTCCAGACAGTCCATTAGAGCATGTTCACAGACTCATTCGGTCACAAGTTTATTCTACTTTTATTCTATTTTAGTTTCTTAAATGCTATGGGCATTCAATATTAGGTGAGAGAGAAATGGTATTTTTGATTTTTCTGTCTGTCCTGCACATATAGTGAATTGACAATAAAAATGTTTTGATTGAAGTACAATGGTGTGTTGATAAAAATGCCCCAAGTGTAGCTTATAGAGTGAAAATAAAATGAGGCCAAGAGCAGCAACATCTGAAATATCAACACCAACCATAACACAAAACAGTCTCTTCAGTAAGTAGGATATACACCCGTTTATAGAAAGAAGCCAGGTGTGTGCTCTGTGTATTTAAGGAAAAGAAGTTTTCGTTCAAATTCGGCACACGAGTATGAAGGATGGAAAATGACAAGTAGCAATAAATGAATAAGGAAATACATGAATAAATGCATGTTGAAGCAAGTCAATGCACAGAAGAAATGCAAATGTACATATATAGAGAAATAAATGTAAAATAAAAAAGCTATTGTCCTTTTTACTTTTTGTTCTATATCTGTTAAGGTATTCTTTATCTTTCATACAACAATAAATGCTTAATTTACATTACTATGTAGTTATCTGCTGCAGGGCCTACAGCTCAGTGAAAAAATTAACATTCCCTGACCGGGAATCGAACCCGGGCCGCGGCGGTGAGAGCGCCGAATCCTAACCACTAGACCACCAGGGACTGCTGTTGACTTATGTTCATTATCTCTTTAAATAACCATGATACGGAGGCTGTGACGTTTGTGTTTGTAGTTCGTAGTATTAATCGCTTTAGTAAGCATTCAGCTGAGGATACAGTACGAACCACAAACAAAACATGCTATATACCTGTGCAGGTTCGATTCTGGCAGACAATGTGGAGTTTTGTCTTATCAAAACAATTATCAGGAACATAAACAAATACAAACATGAGCGCAACAATATAGAGACCACAAAATAATTGCAAATCCTAAACGCACACAAGAAGGAGAAGATCTATGTGAATGAAAGTAGCAGTTTAAAAGAGCAATAAAGGGACTTTCTGTCTGTTCGATGAAGATCATGTGAAAGTCTAAAACAAAAAAGCTTGGAAACAGTAAAACTCGGTGTTTACGCTAGAAATTTAATTTAAAGTAATAATAATAATAATACAACACTGAAAGGTTTTGAAGGTTTGCATAACGTTTTGATAGGCTGATAAAGGGTTCCAATGTTTGCAAGCATTCATTTGTATTTGACTTTTTATTTTTCACAGATGCATCACTCTTTTTACTGTTTCTCCAACACATTTTCAGTTTCACATTTGTCAGCATGCTCTTTGTGTAGCCATTACATTTTCCTGCTTTGAAATCTTGTGAATGGTGATCTGAAAGCTGGTGGTGAAACTTAAACAGGTGAATGTTTATTTTGAAACCTGTGCAGTTGCACTTAGACATGCAGCAGCTCTGGTTTGAAACCCTGAAAAAAAAAACAAAAAAAAAAAACAATCTGGATTTTTTTTTTAAGTCAGGATTCTGGAGGCAGGAGGGGCATTTGTTATTAATCTATCATTTGGTTTCTGCTAAAGTGCAGTCAAATCACATTTTGTTAGCAGTCTGCCTGGTTCACTCTGCTGTCGGGTCACACTTTTACTACAGGTAAGGAGCTCACTGTTGTATTATATGCCACATTAGTAACATGCTAGCTCACTTTAATTTGTAGCTCCTGGTTATACATCGTGACAGTTCCCAGACTGAAGCCACTGTGTCAGTCGCCCAATGTGGCCAGTTGCAGTATAGGTCATAAATCCTCCTTTATCCATGTTAGCAGATGGGACATGAGCCAAACTAAAAAGTACAAATCAAATTCATTTTTTTCCAGAAATGATTTGTGCGTGTCCCACGACAGCTCCCAGAAGCCTGTCTTCTACCAGCCTTTACACCTAGTCCCTCCAGCCCCACACCATGGATAAGAAAGACCAAACCCTGTGGCCTGCATTGGCTGTCACAGCCTAAACAACACTGTGGTAAAAACCAAATAT